TCTTTCCCTCCTTTTATCTTCTTTTCTTCCTTCTCACTATAACAGAATGTGGTTTTGCACCCGTCCCAAGTTTATCAAGTGTAGGTGTCCATTTAGAAGTCCCAAATTCCAGAAACCTTTCCTGAGGTCGCCACACTGGGGCAAAGGCACACCCGCATGATGCCACCGCCTTCCTGGCATCAGTTTCAACATTCCTGCATTATTCACAAGGACTTCTGACACAAGAGTCCCAAGCACAGACTCTAGAGTCAAAATATACCAGGTATATGTCTCAACTCGGTTAGCTTAGTAAACGTCGGCAAGTTAGTTAAGGAAGTCTCAGTTCTCAAATCTGTACAGTGCAGATAAGAAAATGTTCTGTCTTATAGAAAGTTTTACTTAAGATATATTTCATATTATATGGATATACGATGCTTACTATAATGCTGCTGTGGAGCAAATGTGCGATAAATCATAGACATGATTTGTATTGCCATTGTTACTGGTTTACATTATCCACCTTCATTTAAGCGAGGCTTCTGCAGAATATTGGAAACCAAACGAAAGGAAATACCGAGATAACTTAGGCATAAGCAAATGTAACACTTCAGTGACACACCATCAAAAAGGAAAGTTTGATTTATTACCCATGCAGATAAATACACACATGGGAGTCATCATTATTAACTGTCATATTCAGCTTCCATTTCTACCATTCACATTGGGGGGCTGATTTTCTACAGGCATCACCTACCGGTTTAGGTGGACACGCAGTACTGTACTTCCTTGAGGTCGCACCTGATCTGATCGGGTGTATACACAGAAGGCAGAGGGCAAAAAGACTGATTAGAGAGGCCGGAGGGACAGAGGGCGTGACCCTAATCTTAATCATTCTTCACTTCCTTTTTCTTTCACAAGATGATTTGGCAAGGTCCACCACATCAGCAGCAGGAGCTGAGACGCTTTCTCAGTGGCATCATCTTGCGTCCTGCACGTTTGTGGCTGCCGTGGACATATTAGCAACGGGTGTTTTCAGCTCCCAGTCGCCCAGCGTTGCCCCGGCGTTTGGAAATCATCTGGAAAGTATTTTAGCCCCAAGTGCTCTGATTCAGAAGTTAGCTGGTTGTTCTCTTGTGCTTTGGACATTCGCGCCCTCGTCTAATCCTGGCCCAGGTGCAAGACAAGGGCTAAGGAAGGGCTAGGTGCCCAGAAGTGGGTGAATGATAAAGGCACCCCAGTGATGAATTGAGAGATTGAACCTACCAACCAAGCGCAAAGTAGAAACTGAAAGTACACCGCCGGCTGATCCTACGGAAGTTATGGAAAAGGCAAAGCGCTGAGCCGGGCGGTGGTGTGTGCCGCCCCCCTTGGGATGGATGAAACAGCAGGCGCGGCGCGGGTGAGAGGAACCAGCTGCGGAGTCCGCCCTGCCCGGAACCGACTCCAGGCAACTCCTCGTAAGAACAGGGTCCTGGGAGTGACTATGGGCCGTGAGAGCTCGCTCCTGCTGCAGTTGCTGTCATCATGACTACGCCCGCCTCCCGCAGACCATGTTCCATGGTAAGCGCTCCTCTCCCGGGCGCACAGGTTCGCGCGCCCGAAGCGCCGGGGGACACTGGGACGCGCTGTCCACCCCTGCGCTAAAGCACGTCCGGGAATAGCCCGGCCTTGCACTTTGGACCTGCCTACAGCCCCGGCTCTCCCACCAGCAGCGCTAGCCGCGCCCATAACCACCTGCACTTGGGGTTGCTTCGCCTGACAGGCTGCAAGCAGTCCCTGAGTACTTTCTGTCCCGAGACGCAGAGCCGCGGCTTCCGCGCCCTTTAGCCGTGCAGCTTGCGGCCGCGTCTCAAAGCCAAAGGCTATCTGCCTGTCTGCCATTCTGCCCCTAGCTAGCGCTGCCCTCTGCCAACCCGGAGCCTAACCCGTCCTTCCATGCTCCCGGCTTCGTCACGTTACTCACAAGCGGCTCAGGTTGGCGAGTAACTGGGCTCTCGCAGCTCGGAACTCCCCAGAGAAGTGAAAGCGAAGCTCCCAGGGGACGCGCTTTTAAACCCTAAAGGAGTAGGTCTCTGGAAAACCCCGTTTTTCCCCAGTAAGGCTGGGAGTTTCCGTCTGGGGTTGTACCTTGGTCTGTTTGCTGGAAACCCAGTCCTGGGGCTGGTACTGGGAAAGGACAACTTGTTTTTCCTGCATGAGCGCTCTTCCTTCTTGGAGGCTGAATGAAATAGACAGGACTCCGAATTCCAGGTCTCTGCTGAGATCTGCTTTATTCTGTCTGCTTGGAATAGGATATAAAGTGGACCAGGGCAGAACGGAGGTGGGCTGAATTCCAGACAGCCATGCCGCCAGTGTAAGGAGCCAACATTTTTACTGGAAGGGAAAAGGGGAAAAGGGACGTTGGGGAAGAGGATCTGTTTAGGAAATTGGAATGTTTTACAGTAAGTACTTCCTCTAGCAGAAGAGGACCGTTGGGGGAATAGGGAGTCTCTTGCTCTTCTCTTTGATGGTCTGTGCACTCTCCTGGCTACTCAGGGCAAGAGTCCTTTCCCTCTCACAGGTGTTAAAGAATAAAGAATTCACATAATCAGTAATGAAGGTGGGTGCGAGGGTAGAATAGCCATACTCGGGGGAGTTTGGAAGAGACATCAGTCAGGAGTTCAAGACAGAATCAGAAAACGAGAACGTCTGTGCTTGCTTTGCAATTCTCATAGTAGCCTACAATTGTTTCTGTCTGAATTGTTCCTGGTTCCAATCCTTGCATGGCCTGTGATCCAAAGTAAAGTGGCAAAAGGAGAAAAGGAAGCTCGAGTGTGCATTTTTTAACAAGGAGGCTTTATCTCCTAAAGTTTATCCGTATGCAATCATTCACCATGTATTGTTATGAGCCAACAAAATATTAACGTTTTAAACTTCTATTATTGATTATAATAAATATCCTTCTGCATATCATTCCAAAGATTTCAAAGAAGTTGCTTTCTCGAGAATGTGCATACTCTTATTTTTTTTTTCTTTGCTATTTCTTCTGGGAGTTAAAGTAGTTGAGGGCCTCCTACATGGTCCTCAACTGTGCTATCTACAATAGTTCGGACAGTTTCATCAAATTTAAGGATCAAATGAAACAGTAAGAAAAATAGAAAACAGAGAGATCAGAAAGCCTGAACAGGTATATAGGAGAGTTACAAATGACATCGCATTAATGTTTAAATATCTTAACAAAAATAGAAAAGGATGTTTCAAAGGACAAAATTACATGTCATAGTCACAGTTGTATGTGAGATTTTTTTCCAGTTTCATTCCTGATATATAAGCTACAGTAAAAAAGAGTAAATATTTAGTGTCTTTTTCTCCCTTAAATATAAACATATGGTGCAATTTCAGAGCTTGACCAGGACATATCTTAGTGAGGTTCACACAGAGGAAGATGGTTTTTGTGCATGCTTGCTAACTACACACACACACAGTTACTTTTGTAGGTGGCAGTGTAGCTTAGTGGCTAAAAGCTGAATTCTAGACTCTTTAACCTGGCAAACCAGGATATGAACATTATATATATAAATTTTTTTCTTACAGATTTTCTACCTATAAAAAGTGAGTAACTTGTAATAGTGTATAACTTCTCTATCTATGAAATGTTAATGACATTTCTTCATCAAGTGGTTATGGAATTAAATCCCCAGAGAAATTAGGCCTATGTTATGGACATTTAATAAACACTTACAGGTCTTAAAGCCTGATAAAAGCCAGGATTTAATGAATTGTAGAAACCTACTTATTTATCTTCACTTTGACCCCATAACTTAAGCAGCTGAGGTCTGAATGTATTATTTGGCTTAAATTAAAAACCAACAAGAATTTTTAGACAGTCATCACTATGGGTTAACCAAATTCCCTGTTGAAAGAAAATTCTCCAGTTTCAATCCCTTCAGGAGATCTAAAGACAATTCCACAAGCTGAAAATTCCTTTGCATTATTCCTTATGGTTTGCTTTCTCTCTAGTCTAATGAAAAGTTTAGGAGAGAGTGAGGGAGGGGTTCATATGTAGTTTGAAACAAATGCAAACAAAATAAAAGTTCCTTACTCATTGTTACAATGATGTCAAAACCATCCTCAAACCAGAGGATCTTAATATAGTACTCTCTGTGTGGTGTCAGAGAAAGGATGTCAAGTACAGAACAAACTGCACATTATTAATGAGAGAGAGCTAGGAATCTATGAGGTGTAGACTCAGAACTGGGTGTATTTGGACCAGTGTCACCTGAATAATTTCAGATCTGGAGTTTCTGTATTTGGATAGCCAGGTAAATTCTTAGAACTAAGGAGCTTGAGAGCCAAAAGAGATAATAAGAGATCAATTAGTCTTAAGTTTTTACTATAAAAATCAGGTAAATGAAGGTTAAAAGATGCTCTGTCACTGACTCAGTCACACAAAAACCCTAAGCCTCCATGTTCCAAACCCTCTATGCTTTGTATTACCCTAGTCTACCTGAACTTACTTACTCAACAGCAACAATGACAGCCAAACACACCCTGTAGGCAAGACAAATTATATTTTCAGATTGAGAACAAGTTGCAATGCACACCAAAAGGCCAACTTTTGTACCAAACCAGATTTGGAAATTATTGACAAAATGCCATCCAATGAATAGTTTGATTTGAATTTTGAGAGAAATTCTACTAAAAATTGGGGCAAAAAAAAATAGCTAGTGTTGTAGAAAATACAACCTTACTTATAAAACTTAATAGACCTTTGAAATAACGTTTATATGTAATGGTAAAAATATCTCCCTTTTCTGGACAAGCAGTTAGTGTAATGGCTATGTTGCTGGATTCCCACGTAGTGGAGCGTGGTTCGAGTCCCAGACCTGGTGTCTTAAACTCACGCCGGGCAGGTGTGTGTGCATGCGTGCGTGGGCAGGTGTGTGTGCATGCGTGCGTGCGTGCCCAAAATCCCAAGAGGAGAATGGAGGAGAAGGGATTGCGGCATGGCCATCCTCCCTGGAGGTTGATTTCTCTCTTTCTATCTCTGTCTCTCTCTTTCTTTCTGGCAAGGGCACGTGCCCTATAGCAAAAACGTCTCCCTCCCCCCCCCAAAAAAAGAAAAAAAAATCTCCCTTTTCCTTTAGTTTTTAATTATATACTCCTTAAAATTCATTTCAAGTTGTATGCTGTATAATTTTTCCTTTATTTGCTCTTCTCAAAGGAGGGGTAAGATGAGAGAGAAAAGAAAATGTTTGTTTCTATACAATCTATATGAATCCAACTACAAGGTCAGAACCTAGTGAAAACTTAGCCACTGGTCATTGCTTGAGAATCTGGAAAAGTTCCAGATATGTGTCCAGAGACCTCCGTGTGCACACCAAGCCTGTATGCCCATGACCAGGGGCTGGCTGAGGCTGGGAGTGGATTTTGGCATCAGGACCCTGTTGAAGGTGCATCTCTCTATATATATCTCCCTTTTCTCTATCTCTTGCTAATGGAAGAAATAAATAAATAAAACTAAAAACAAAAAAAAAAGGAATAATAGTAGAAAAGAGACAGAGCCAAAAAACAATTACACAGAAATGGTTTCCATTGAAAACCAATGTCATTACATGGTATCAAGGGTTTATGACCATTCCTGATCAAATACTGGTGAAGCAGTAAACTCAAGCTAGCATGCAGAATTTTTGCAATCCCTCTCCTGATCCTTGTTTTTTTGTTGAGCCTGGTACTTACTATCTGTGTGTTACAAAAAAGATTAACTTTAAGGACTCACCTGATATTTATATACTGTGTATAATCTCTCTGTCTTTTAAATATATATGTGTAAGTATAAATACATATATACAATACATATATAATATATAAAATATATAAATGCATATATGTATATTATATATACACATATAGCATATATAAAGATGTATATATACACATATATAATCTCTCTTTTAAATATATATAAACACATATATGTTGGGTTGTTGGGAAAGTCATAACACATTTTTGCAGAGAAAAATGACTTTCCAGATGAGATGAGCTAATATAAATACATATTGTGTGTGTGTGTGTGTATTTATGTGTGTGTGTATGTATGTATACACACATATATGTAATCACCTGATAGTTCATGGTACATAACCCATACAATTAGAGGTAACTAATGCCATGATAATTACTAATCACCTAAAGAAATGTTTGCTTGTCATGTATATAGAATATAGTAGCACTTCATGGAACAGTTATGAATAGATTTTGTGTCTCATTACCAGATTTTTGTTTCTCTTACTATGTCAATGTCAGCAACATATAAAGACTAAAAGTAGGATTTATGTTACTTCACACAACTACTACCCAATCTACTTTATTTGTAAAAACATAGGTCACTGCACTTCGTGTTTTTTTAAAAGAACTGTTTATTTCATTTTATTTATTATTATCTTTTTTTTTTTTTTGAACTGGAGAGATCTAGA